AAACATGGGCATAGTAACAATATTTTTATACTACATTTATCCATTTTAAATGCACTAACCTCACTCCTTTGTAACAACTAAACCTTAAATGTAATTAATTCCAAAAATCTTTTCAGGACCCCACCTTGATGTTTCGGGACCCCACTTTGGGTCCCGACCCCAACTTTGGGAAACACTGGTCTAATGTACTGTATATCTGCCTGCCTTAGAAGAAACAAAAATTTAGAAAATTATTTTATTTTACATGGATTTGATAAAAAAGATTTGTTGGTACCCTTAAAGAGACTAATAATCTTTGCATAATAGTCATGTTTAAACTAACCGTTAGACCTTAAACAGTAGTGAGCTTTCATCAACCGTTCAGACTTTTAAAGGAAACAAGGAGCATCTTGGTAGTTTGGTGTGGTTGTGTACACCACCCTGATACAGAGCAGAGAAAGTGAAGGTGAGAGCTGTGTAAGAAGCTCAGAAAGCAGATTAGAGATGTTTGTGGTAAAGTTAAAGAGTACACAGCGTTCCTCTGACCACAGCTGAATCTGTCAGAATGTGGATGCAAGACAAAATGCAACCCCAGGCTGTTCTGTCAGTAAGTGCAGGTAAAAAAAAAAATAGCCGAAGAAAACTATTCAAGCTGAACTCATAGATCAAGGTTTCTGACATGCTAATGGAGTCCATGGAAGAAAACCCAGGAAGCTTCACTACTGACAGAAAAACACACAAAAACAGACTGAATTCACCAAAATATACATTGACAAGATTCAAAGTTTCTGAGAGAAGTTTGTGGGACTGACGAGGCAAAACTAGGCCTTTTTAGCTCCAGTAACATCAAGAAAATGAAGCTTTCAAAGAAAAAAACATATTGTAATGACAACACTAAATAAACAAATACTTCAGTAAGCAATGTTGATGCCTTTTTGCTCTGGGTTCAGAGCAAACAATCAGCTAATAAATCATTTTCATTCCAACGTTGCACTGTAGAGACCCTTGCAACACAGTTTATTAATGACTATAAAACATCGCCCCTATGAAACATTTGCTAATGCTCTAAATACTGAAAAATACCCCATAAAATACCTTTTAAATAAATAACAAAAACATCTGAAAAAAAGTTAAATAATTTTAAATAAAAGTTCACAAACCTAAATCCAACTGCAAATTCTCTCATTGCAGTTGTCCATTTCCTGCATTGACCAAGTGCGTTCATGTTAAGTGTTGCCTGGATCAGGATCCTCCAAAATCCATCATTTTCAGAAGAAAACAATACTACTCACACACAGGGACAGGGGGTAGTAAAATAAATTTGAAGCTGACTTTTTTTTAATCTGTGTGATTTCTCTTAGGTATGCATCAATATCAGATATAACTAGAAGCACTCAGAGAGTGCAAACCTCCACCAAGACCAGTTTCCTCCATCCTGTTAGAGTTAATGCACAAAAGCAGAGATGGAAACAGATTTGCTGAATAAGTTCTGACATAGTGAACATTTAAGCAGCAGTATGCACGGGATTTCTTCTCGGTGGAGTCCACTGTGAAAAAAAAACAAAAGTCAGACTGGTCACCCGATGTTATTCATGGTCAAACTGGTGTGGGATTAAGCTCCTAAGTTTCCATCAGTCACATTTCACCATGTAAAACGTCTGTTTTATCTCCTTGTATGAGTTTGTAATGGTTTGACTCTCTTTATAAAGTGCTTCCTGGCTCCCCCCGTCTCCAAACTTTGAGGCCCGGCAGCTCTCTGTTTACAAGCCTAGTAGAGACAAACTGTTTTGATTGGTTGTTTCGGAAATGTGGTGTGTTTGACAAAATGGGAAAAAATAGTTTTCATGGTGCAGTCACGCACTTCCTGGTCACAAAACGTTCTGTAAATGTCGTATTATGGCAAAAATTATTCATCATTAAATCTAACATTACTTTTATAAAGTTTGAAGTCCGTGCTGTCCAATCCTGCTCACTGTTTTTTTACAGAAGCCCTGTGAAAGCATCACAGCTTCACCGATCTCATAAAAAGAAAAAAAACTTCCTGTATCCGCATCGTGATCCAGAACATCACCAAAATTTAAAGGTGTGTTCCTTGGCCCAGTACCCACATGTGGTAAAAATGTCATGACAATCTGTCCACAAGTTTTTGAGTAATGTTGTCCACAGACAGAGCGACAGACGGACAGACATGCGCGACTGAAAACATTACCTCACTCTTGGCGGAGGTAATGAGCAGACCTCTGACATGGACTCCCAACACCATCATGATCAAACTAATACCACTCAACCAAACATCTCCCCTCTCAAAACAGAAACACACAGTTAAAAGTTGGGACATCACTATCGCACGGTAATATCAGCCCAGTTTCACTTATTGGACAGATATCAATGTTAATGCAGATATATCATGCATCCCTAGTTTCTCTATATGTTCATATGTCTGCAAAATGGAGTCGGCATGTAATTTACAGTCCGTACAACTTGACATGTATGCAAGTGCAAACATTTGAGCCAACTGTTTATTGCAGTTTACACAGTTTTTTCAGGCTCTTGTTGCGATGACAATAAATTAGCAAAATACTGTAAGCTACAGTGAAACAAGCAGGAGGCTCAGTTGAATGTGTGCAGGGCTCAGGATTCTCACTGTGTTCTGTATAAACATGTTGTCCAGTGACAGAAAGCTCAGCCCCACTTGCAGGTCATGGTCCTTTCACAAAAAAATGGCCTAAAACAAACAGCTAGAAGCACTCAGGCTGGCCTGAGAAAATAACACTGGACTATTTTTAAACAGCCCTTCATGAACATCTGTGGAAAGATCAGAACTTTACATTGTGGAAACGTCATCCTTCTACGTCATTTTCATCAGTTTCATAATAGAATAATCACAGGTTTTAAATCTCAAATCTGGAAAGACTGAATTTAATTTTATTCACTGAACTGTCTTCAAATATTATTTAATTAGGAGATCTTAGATATGCCCTTTTTCTGAACTACTCCTCCTGTGCTTTGATCACAGTGCTACAGAGAGGAGGTCTCGTCTGCACTTCATGCATCAGTGGAGTCAAGTGGGCCTCGGAAAGAAGAGGAAGTTCAGTCGAGAAGATCTGGAGAAGTGGGCGGAGTCTTTAGACTCTTTGTTAGCCAGTCACAGTAAGTCCTGCTTTATTCTGAGCGTAGCTCGACAAGTTGGCTGTTTTATTCTGTGAATGCTGACTCAATAATAACAATATTGTTTTCCCGTTTTTAATTTCCTCAAGTCTGCTAATGAACTAATTTTGCACGCTTTTATATTTTAACCATTCATGGACCGCCTTTAGCTTTGATTACAGCACTCATTCTCTGTGTCATTGTTTGGATAAAGTTCTGCAAAGTCAGCAGATTTATTTCATCCAGAGTTGCATTAATGTTTCACCAAGATCCTTCATTGATGATGGTAGAGTCTGAACTTCTCCAGCTCATCCTAAAGATCCTCACTGGACTCTGTGGAGCCAATCCATGTGTGAAAATGATGTCTCATGTTTCCTGAACCACTCTTTCACAATAAGAGCCCCATGAATCCTGGCATCTTAGAATATCTCCGTGCCATCAGGGAAGAAACAATCATTGAAGGAATAACCTGCTCATTCAGTATATTCAGGTCGTCAGCTGACCTCATTCTTTGAGCTCAGACTGTTGTTGGACCTGGACCTGACCACCTGCAGCAGCCCCACATCATAGACCTGCCCCCACAGGCTGGTACAGTAGAGACTGATTACCCTGATGCACCATCTCTCTGGAACAGGGTCAGTCTGGACTCATCAGACCTCCAGAGTCCAATCTTTATGCTCCCTAGAAAAATGAATCTTTTCAGATTCAGATTATTTTATTGTCATTCATACATAACATCAAGATGCAATGCAGAACAAAATTGCAGTTTAGAACAGGGCTATTCAACTGGCAGCCCGTGGGCCACATCCGGCCCGCAAGTGACCAAAGTTCGGCCCGCCAGTTGGTTCATTCATCTCTTAAGCCCAAACCCCTGGTTTTCTACTTTAATTACTCTAAGTTCCTTTGGTTAAACATAGACCTGTTTGGTATCTACAGAAACGTCAGGATCTTGACTACAAGCTGGTAAAAACATTTCTATGAGTATTCAAGACAGTTAAAACTACAAGCAGATGAAGATAAAATGATGAAAGTGAAAAAAAAATGGTTTAAAAATTTGTCAAGTCAGAGATATCAAAATATTTGTTCTATGTGTTCTTTTTATTTTTGATAATGTGTCATTTTCACTACTTTTATAGGGTTCTGTATGTTGTACTCATGATTAAATGCTAATGCTAAATGCTAAAATAAACTAATTCAAAGGTAACATATCTTTGTAATACTTGGTTTATTTACATAATAACTTTAATTGCTGGGTGTTCGGCCCTCAGCTGTTGACCGTGGCCCCCGGAGCAGTTTAGTTGAATAGCCCTGGTTTAGAACATCCGTCCGGAGAAAGACACACACATTTTTTTTCTGGTTAGTCAATGAGTTAATCCTTTTCAAACAGACCAAAATCTTTTCCACGACCACAGGATGTCTTTCCACATGGTTGTTTAAGAAATAAGAAGCAACTCATTGCACCAGTTGGGGTCATTAGCAGTGGTGGACAAAGTACTCAACTCTAGTACTTGAGTAAAAGTATTGATACTCATGGTCAAATCTACTCCACTACAAGTAAAAGTTACTCAGTCAAAAATCTACTCAAGTAAAAGTACTGAAGTACTTACTTTTGAAAATACTTAAGTATTCAGAAGTACATGTATTTTAAAGTACTTAAGTACAAAGTAAAAGTACAAATTACATTCTCTTTTTTATTTTTATTTTTTTGTCACTTACAAACATACATACATGCCTACATTCATAAATATTGTCAGTATATACACACAGACATATATACACACTCAGTGACCTGTCAGAACCCCTGGATCAGAACACCTGTCTGTGAGCAGTTGTGAACATGTGTGTATATACAAGATTTCTCCAATGGAATATTTAATAGCGACTGTGGAGGACCGGAGACCCAACCCCCAAGACACGAGGCAGACATAGGGAAGACCAGAGCCCAAGGGTCTGAGAGGGATCCCGAGAGCAGAGCCCCAAGGGGCACCTGCACGGTGCTCT